AAACCCTAAACCCTAAACTGTTTTAGTTTAGGGCGAGTTCCAGGTTCAGGGTCTCAGGTGAGGGCTCCAGGCTTCAAGGTTTGGAAATTGAGGGCGTAAGCTTAAGCGTTTAGGGGTACATGCACTTTTGGCTGCACACTGGTGGGGTGATAGCGCTTGTACAAACCATGAGGCTACTGTTATGGCTGCATGCTTTCATAATTTGCTATCATTGACCTCTCGAATGTTGCAATGACTCCTCTTTCCATCTTTGGTGTGTTGCTGCTGGAATGCTGCAGGAGTTCCAGCCCTTGGCGCTTTCAATACAACGTCACAGCTCTTTACAACCCCTGACTAAGCCCGATGCCTGATGAAAATTTGCAACCGGCAATTGAGTAAAAACAATCCGGGAACCAACCTAGCCCAGCATACAACACAACGCATTACTCCGCATAATGAACCTCCAGCCCTGATACTAGACATTCTCTCCTTGTATACTGCCACTGTTTAACAACTAATAAATTGCGGGGAGTGGGTTACGATCATGACGCTCTTTTTTGGTGGTCGCCAGTGAACTCAAAGACTTAGACTCAGACAAGCCCTGATCAGCAACTTGCTTGGGCTTTTGATGACGAAGCCATTCATTAACATGCGCACGATTCTTTGCGCTCAATGGTGATTTGAAAGAACTGCGTTGCCAAGCAAACATGGCCACCTGTACAGTACCCCCCGTAAGGTAGAACAAAGGGAAGCTGCTTTTTTGCTGAATCATGATCAAGATATTGCTGACTACTCACTGCCCCAAAGTGTGAGCGTGTGTGGGAAATATGTAAGGAACACCCGGCAATTTTCTTTATAAACCTCTAGGCTAACGCTGGTGCATATCAGCGCTAGCTCATCCAGCTCCGAAAGTGTGCTTCAAACTCCTGCTTCCCCACACCCCTTTCAACTGTCCTCAGCCCGTATAGTCCCCCTTCACTATATAACATGGGGTATATGGGGATCTTATTATAACATACCCAAAGCCAGATTCTTTCTACTTGAGGGGGACTATAAGCCCCAAACCCCCCTCAACCTGAAACCACTATCCTTACATCCCACCCTAAACCCTAAACCCTAAACCCTTAAACCCTAAACCCGTAAACCCTAAACCCAATTTCCTCTCAATCGTGCTACCCGAGATTGAACCTAGCCGAGGATCAGCCAGCTGGAGGCCTAGGGTGGAAAGGATTTTCAGGGTTTAGGGGTTTTGGGTTTAGGGGTTTGGGGTTTAGGGGTTTAGGTTTAGGGTTTAGGGGTTAAGGGGTTTAGGTTTAGGGTTTAGGGGTTTAGGGTGGAAAGGATTCTGACGCTAGGTCGGCTGATGCTGGGTCTTCATCTGGATATACAAGATAAACGGAATTTTTGGGGGTCTAGGGTGTAGAGGGCGTTCAGGGGTATAGTCCCAGAGTATGGGATATATGGGGTTCTTATTATAATATACCCAAAGCCACATTCTATCTACTTCAGGGGGACTATCACCCCAATATATACCCTATTGTAATATATTTAATAGTTTCCATGTTCTTTTCCATATTCCCTATATAACCCCAATAATGTACCCCGTATTCTGTCTACTTAAGGGGGACTATAGCGCTCAGGAGATCTGGCGTTGATTTGTGCCCTGGTCAGAAGCAGGAAGGTCTGTATGATTCTTGTCATTTTGCCCCCTAAAAGCAGCAAAACTGTAGCCCTGAACTCAAAGCCCATAAACCCTAAATGGCCCTAAATCCTGACTTGAAGCCCTTTGCCCCAACTCCCAAACCCTGAACTCTGAACCCAAAACCCCAAAACACTGCACTCTACAAGCACTTCCAGCTCTCAGCCCTAAGCCCTGAACCCACTACCTGAGCCCAAAGCACTAAGCCCAAAACCGTAAAACCCATAAGGGCTAGAGTCTAAACTGCCAGTATTCCCTTTAATAACCTTTGTCATAGTCCCGTATATAATCCCTTATATTGCCCCCTCTCAGGAGTTTAGACTACAGCTCATAAGCCCACAATCCTTGTGACAAGTCGCGCGCTTAGCCTCGACTTCGGCCAGGCGCTGCTTCAGCGACTGCCGGGGGACTGGGCGCCAGCGGCAGTGGCCGGCCTGGAGATCCCTCAAATACAGGGTCCTCTGCGGGGCTAGGGTTTTTGGTTGCAGGGTTCTGAGCTGGAATCCCATGGTATTTATGTAGCGTGATGGCCTTATGGATTATTCAATCAGTTTTGGACTACTTGGGAAAATGGAATCGAGGGTCCTGCAGATATACAAGGTTTATTGATTGGCGGATTAGGGTCTTAACCCCACCCTCACTGAAATGCCCATGTACTTGGACCCCACGGATCCCAAAGGTTCACGTAAGGCCTTTAGGGCCATTAGGGATTATAGGGCAGAGGGCCCAGGGTTTGGGATTCCTCAAAATCAGACTTTGAGGTGTCAGGAAATGGAGGTGCTGTTAGCTGTAGGATTAAAAGGACTGGGTTGAGGGTGTTTCGCGTTCACAAAGGGCGATGGAATTGTGTTTTAGCATTGCCTTGACTCCCTACAGTCTTACGTTTTTACCGAACATCTTGCTTGACTGGTAATGCTTCTTCACTTACTTGAAGAAGTAAAGAACCGATGTTAGTTCAAAAACTTGGCCGGGCTTCCGCAAACCGTGCCCCTTTGTCTCCCTCCTGTCTGCATTTGTGTAATTTCCACCTCCTAGTGTTCGTGGTCTTCACTGGTGTATTATTGTTTATTTCGGTTCCTGCTGTTTGCAGCATGCTGCTGTACTTCGGGCGCGCGTCGGTTCGGGAACCATGTTTCGGGAACCATGAACGCATTTCGGGAACCATGAAAGCCGTTTCGGGAACCATGGAGGTCGTTTCGGGAACCATGAAAGGTCGT